TAAATAATTACAATATTCGAACTTGTTTCAATAATAGATAAAAATAAGGCAAACGACTACATCTTCATAGGTGCTTTTAAATTAAGGTCTTCCTGTCTACAGAATGTATATTTATTCTAATTATTTGTTGTTGTTTTTTACTTGTAAGAAATAATTGTTATTATGCATTTTTAGTTATATTTATTATTATATATGTATTGTGTATATTATTAATTATTTCTTATAGTCTGTAATTAGAGAGCTTATTTAAATAATCGTTAAATTAAGTTATGCTACAAACTAAAGCAATGAAATTCTATTTAACCCAATTTATATACCATATAAATATAATCGAATTCTTTTAAACAAGGTCCAGTATCTCGACCTTGTCAGATGGAAAATTGACTCATGTCAGTATTAATATCTTCCCTTGAACAAATTTAATAAATTTTTACATGATAGTTTAACGTTTTCAGGTACTATATTTGAATCTATATTTCTATTTTGAAAGTTTGAAAGTATGAAATCAACTAATTGTGACCAAATATGGTTTAAAGTACATACAAAATACCCTTTCCTCTGTTAAAGCGAATCAAATTAATTGTGGTCAATGAGAACCTGTTCGGATTTTCGAAATATTCTTCAATATATATAAAAAGAGGCCGTGTATACTAGATTTAAATTTTTACAACTAAAGAATTACATATAAGAATACTTGAGAAATTGATGATTGGTTGTTTATTATGCACATTTTTTTATATTGACAACTTTACACACACACACACACACACACACACACACACACNGATTAAAAGATATCACGATTTTCCGACGCCAGGACGTGATATCTTTCAAAATCGATAAAAAGCGAAATTACTCTGAAATGGTTGAGAATCGGACCATGGACAATATGAACTTTTTTGTTCATTTTAGGGTGAAGAATCTACTGGAGAAGTTTGTAGCACGAGTAGCAATTCACCCTGTATATATATATATTATATCTTAAAAAAATAACTTTAAATTTTACGAAATCATGTTAAAGTGTACTTTGGGTTTTCCAATAGTTTTCCTAATAAATGATTTAAAAGCAATTTAATTGGTATTCCCTTGAATTCTAGACTAATTGTTTTTCTTTTTTTAATTGTTATGAAAAGTGGTTTGCAATGCTCAGTTTTCATTTACCAAATATTTTTCTGATAGATATTTCTTTAATTTTATCGTCATTAATTTATTTACAGAAACAGGGTTTCCCCAGAGGCATTATGCCATACGAAAATGTTTATTTGGAACGACCTAAGACATACAATTTTTAGAATATTCAAATCAACTTGATCTCCGTTTTTAAACAATACCAAACACAATTTCGAATAAAAATATTTTTTCCAACTTAGGGGCCCGTCTTGGTGGTATCGTAATAATATCAGAGTTTTCTTATGACTATCACTTGCAATCGCAAAGGTCATAGATTGGTTTTATTTACATATAAAACAATCAAGTTGATTTAAAATAATTATAAAAAACTTTAACATATTCACGAGTCTAGAAATTTACAGCAACTTACAAAGCTTGAGTCATCTGCAAGCAGTTAGAAGTAACGGTGATTTATTTACACAATGGTACATACAAATATTAATAGCCCTAATACTGACCCTTGGGGTACACCTATTATCACATCGATTTGATTAGAAATTGTCCTTTTCTATCATTTAAGATCTGCCACTTAAAAAATCCCTATAAAAATTTAAGGCTTTTCCTTAGCCGGAAGTACTGATCAATATATGTATCATGTTAAGTTTTATCCTAAAAGGCATTGTAGGAGGTTTTCGTTTTCTTGTTTTATAAAACGTTGCAAGAGTTTTTGTTATCTCATCCTTTTTTTTCACTGATAGAGAAATAAATTCTAAATATTATTGACAAATGCAGAACGATTATAAATCAAGCTTTACCACCAGATATAATAATGTCGAATCCAGAGAGGTTACGAATTTTTAAATGGAATGAATAAATTAAATCAATCAGTATTTCTGTTTAATTCCAATTGCACACGTCAAATTGTTATCTAAAGCGGAATGTAAAGAAACATTTAAAATTGCGTTTTATTATCTTGCGCAAAATGTTCAACTGGCCAGTTTTGGGGGTCATTGATTGCATACTCGAACCGACGGACGCACTCATTGACACCCCATATCTTGGTGCTGATAACCAGATGCGTACAAGAGAATTTTCAAAATTGAACATCTGCATTGCACTATCGAATCTCTGGGCTTTCTAACAATTGTGGCTAAATTCTCGAGGATGAGTTCAAAACAAATCGACCTGAAGACAATTAATTAACAATCGATAGCTATAGGGTCATCATATTTCTTATTATCACACTAAATATCACTAATGTTTAGACGGAAACTGTCATTCATTTTCTTGTTTTCACATTTTTTTAATATTGATTTCTTTCCAAGGTATCAAAAAATCGCATAACAAATTGGAATTCGAAGGTTTCTTCTTATTCAAACAGATTAAAAATATATAGTCAATCTATTCAAAAGATCTTCGGACTAAACATGTCTCTTGATCAATAGCTACCAAAACAAACGCTCATCACTAAGGTAAAGTCTCAGGTTCGAATCCAGCGGCCCTGCATTTGAACACGACCTACATACAAATGTGCTTTTGTTCAAAACACCGGCGACCAAGGGTTCAAATAGCCTTGTAGTTGTAATATCCACGTAAAAAAAAAGCCTCCAACTTCCCATTGTGAGATGAAAAAATAGTACATTTTCTATATTTTTATCATGTCGATGCCCTCTCTACACACGTTGTGATATTATTTTCGGTAGTAGCAGGGCTCACAAACCGGCTCGAATTTCAAGGTTTCTTCGTCTCGGTTCTGCAGATAAAAAAAGACAACCATCAATTATTTTGAAACAGGATTTCCTCGTTGAAAGTACATCGATAAAAGAATGTAATCTACAGTCTTTCGATTTCGATTATTTGCTCCAGTATTTTTTTGTTGTTATTATTATCAGTTTTTTCTTCTTCGTTTTGCCTTTTTAAACATTTCTCCCTCCTTATCGCCAATCGTCTTTCTGCGAGATAGGTGTGACTCGTTTTTATTCAGAAAGTTATCCAATTATCTTTATTTCTTATTAATTAGAAATTCTCAAAAATATGTCCACAATTATTGGAGGTCACAAGCCTCCTCACCCTCCCGCCAATAGGCTTTACCCCAACTTAACTTTTCATGATTCAGTAAGCTCTTACAACAAACCGATAGAAAGATGAAATAGGGCCAAAAGACAATCGACAGAAGAAAACATAAATTCAATCAACAAATCGGTGATACGTAATACAGAAGATATAAGAAAGGATAGGGAAATTAAGCGATAGTCAATAAAACATCAATTGTCATTCACTCGCAAGGAAAAGACGACATTGGCTCCTATTTCGTATTTATTGAAAGCCTAGAGGGAGACTAGGGAACGTCTATCCCAAGCGTTTTGATAAATGGCTATTCCAGGATAACGAGCTAAATAATAAATCCATCACTGAGATACGCATTACCTGTAGAAACGGGGTCAAAATAGGAACTTACAACGGAGAAACGGCTAATTATCTGGCAAGTTGTGATGAACTGAAAAGAAACAATTTGTTTGCATATACACCAGATTTTGCCTGAGGTTTTGGGCAACGTGACGTGTCAAGCATAAAGCCAGTGATAATAGAAAGAGTGAATAGATATATAAAAGAAGGGGACAAATTTATAATAATTCCCTTAGAGACATGTACTGTAATGTTCTTAGGACAAAAATTACCTGACCATATTTCTATCTTCGGGAGTCATTGCCCGGTCCGACCATCCTTCCCGCAAGGCAGCAAAACAACTGCTTAAGATTCAATTATAGGCAAAGAGCGATGCCCAAAATGCGGAGAGGACCACCAAACGAAAATCAAGCCTCTCAACCGAACCATCGTGTGTCCACTGTTCAAAGAATCATGTGGCGAATAATAAAGAATGTGAAGTATATAAAAAATTAATATAGAACAGGATTTCCCTCCACTTCACACACCGAATCGCCGAAACATTAGACGAGCCGTAGTGATAATAAATCGCCCTACTTCAAGAATTGGATCTCCTATAGACAGTCCTACCATAAACCGAATTTATAATAAGTACCAAAACTTTCCTTCTCACTCTATCGCAAGCAATCCACATGTTACGACTGAAGACGAGAAGCTCATTTCTCAATTAAATACTGCCCCAAAGTATCCAAGAAAATAAGTATTAAATGACAAAACCAGAAGCTATAGGCCAAAATAGGTTTGATTCTTTATAATTTGGCCGTAGAAAACCCAAACACAATACCATCCCTGAACAAAAAGTATAAAAGAACTCAAGACAGAATAAAACCTACTAAAAACACCCAACTACCTTAACACAATTATAGTAAACAAACCCACATACTAAAATTCAGTGACAGAAGCTTCGGAGGTGGCGGAAGAACTGGCGCGGCATTTTGCCGCGGCATCCAGCTCCGAAGCCTACTCCGATAGCTTTCGGCAAAGAAAGACCGAGGCGGAACGCATGACGATCGAACAAGTGAAGCGTACAACGTGCCCCTGACGATGGAAGAGTTCGAGTCTGCGTTGGGGCGCACCCGGAATTCAAGCCCCGGGTGTGACGGTATCCCATATGAGATGCTTCACCACCTTCCCCAGGGTGTGAAGCGTCGCTTGTTGGACCTATTGAACAACATATGGGAATCAGGCTCCTACCCCGATCGTTGGCGAGAGGCGCTCATCATACCTATCCTTAAAGAGGGTAAGGACCCAAGCTTCTCTTCGACTCTTACAGACCGATTTCGCTGACAACCTGCTTGAGTAAGATCCTGGAGTCCATTGTAGTAAATGGTCGGTTGACCTGGTACTTTGAGACGAAGGGATTTTACAGCCAGTATCAGGCGGGATTCCGTAGACATCACTCTGCGGTAGATCATGCATGTCTTCTCGAGGGCGACCTTCAGGACATGTTCCTGAACAGAGAACACGTTCTGGTTGTGTTCTTCGACCTTGAGAAGGCGTATGATACGACGTGGAGATACGTGATACTACAGAAGTGTCACGATTTTGGTCTAAGAGGTCAGTTACCGAGGTTTCTCCGGTGTTTCTTGGAGAACCGCAGGTTCCGAGTCGAGCTGGGAACCGTGCCCTCTGAGGATTACGTTCAAGAGAACGACATCCCTCAGGGTTCGGTGATGAGCGTTGCGCTTTTCTTAGTGGCGGTGAACGGCATTGCTGACGGCATCCCTCCGCAGATAAAAAGGATGCTTTTTGTCGACGACCTCTGATTCTACCATTCCGGTAAGGATTTGGCGGAGGTCGGCGGCAGGGTAATTGATGTGGCAACCAAAGCAAAAAAAAAGTTTCTTAAAAAATAAAATCAATAAAGTTGAAATTGTCAAATATGTCTCAATTGTGAGCAATATCCCTCATACTCTATTGTTTGGCGTCATTTTTTTCATGGATTTGAACACATAATTTAATTTACATCCCTATTTGTAAAAAACACACTATATTAATTACAATTTTTATTATGCTACATTGTAAATAACATTCATTTTTTCCTTTATTAACAAACAAGGCGGATTACATTCAATCCAATACTGCTTTAATTAAATGCCTATCTCCACTCTCAAATATTCTTTATTTAATATTAGAGAATGATATTTTATTTTATTTAATTATTCATCCAAATGTAAAAAATTCGAGCCGCATTTTGTAAAAAATAAAAATTTTCAGAAAAAAAATTTGAGGCTAGAGTTGCCGCATGTGTGATATGCGTACTATGTGCTATATAGAGATTAAAAACCCTGACAGGATTTAGCTTCCTTGGTGGCGATCAGGTGTTCATGACCTCCTGATAGCGATTTGTAATATCAGGACGTACAGACAAGCTGCCGAAGCATCTCTCATATATTAACCACGCGTCAAGTTGAAGTGTGTAAGACGAGCCCGGGGGTATAAATTAATCAAATCTATCATCGATTGCGATGGAGATTTACCTTCGATTCACCCTCCTTTGCTTGCAAAAAGGATAGATTTTCCAACTCCTTGTTTTGCTTGGTGGTGCTATTGTACAAAAGTGTTTTGTTGAACTTCTCTAACCAATTAATTTGTCTACTTTTGGCAATGCATTTCGGGGCTCGGCTACTCTTAGACTTATTACAATAATAATATACATATCAAGAATTAAGAATTAACATTCATACCTTTTTGGATTTGAAAACTTACTCGCAGGTAAAAATAAAAACTTGTTGTGGACCTCATAGTAATCATTACTTTATGGATTGTGGATTATGTTCAATGTAATACTGTTTTAGATTACATTTCCTGAATTGGGTTCTTGAACATGAAATTAAACCTATATCACGTCTTTCACGGCCTCTTGATAACCTGCAGAACGTCCCACAGAAATGAACTCCTCAAACAGCAACCTGACTTCTTGGAAGGAATCTTAGCATCCTTGCTAGTAAACTAATACCAGGGCAGACTCTAACCATCCCTAACCATCTCAAAACATGAAATTAAACCTATATCACGTCTTTCACGGCCTCATGATAACCTGCAGAACGTCCCACAGAAATTAACTCCTCAAACATCAGCCTGACTTCTTGGAAGGAATCTTGAGCATCCTTGATAGTAAACTAATATCAGGGCAGACTCTAACCATCCCTAACCATCTCGAAACATGAAATTAAACCTATATCACGTCTTTCACGGCCTCATGATAACCTGCAGAACGTCCCACAGAAATTAACTCCTCAAACATCAGCCTGACTTCTTGGAAGGAATCCTTGAGCATCCTTGATATATATCCAGACAAAGTCTCTTGGTAGTGACTTTGAGTAGCACTGACTTCTGATCCTTCAGAAATTTTTTCAACAGGTACCGTGCACAGTTGTATCAATTGTGTGAAACTACTGAACACTTCCAGAAGAATTGATTAAAACAAATCAATCATCGATTACGAGAAAAGGGGGCGACGGTGGCCGCAACGGTTAAGCCGTTGACAAGGCGCTCATCATTGTAAACAGTCCCGGGCCCGGCATGCTTAATGAGTTGTTTGTTGTTTTGTTTTGTTTTTCAAAAACACCGACACTTTGAGGGTCGATATGAGCTCTGGTGTTGCGAACCCTCGTGAAAAAAATCACGACAAAGAAAGAATCTTAGAATAGCCCTCTCAAATGATCAAATCACTGTTTACCCATGTTTCCAACAACAGAAAAGTTGGATTATACACCATCTAAAACTGATTTAATTACAAGACATCCACGGTCTATTGGTAGTGATTTTGAATAACACTGGCTAATAACGTGCACAAACATTTCAGAAATTCACTCCTGACAATGGCACTGGTCAAGTCGAAGTGTAAAACTAATGAAAACCACCAGGTCTGTCATTAGTATAAATTAATCATCCATTGCGATAAACAGTTGATATCAGAATAATCCTTGAGATTACCAGATCCGCTTTTCCTTTTATGGCAAAAAATATTGGGATTATACTCAACCCAACACTGCTGGAATTACATTTCCTGAAATGAGTTTGAGCACACATGCTAGAAAAGTAAAATATAAGGCTACAGATGTGGGATCGCCGAACTTGAAATTGTTTTGGTGATACTTGGTCGTAAATATTAGACCAGAACATATGTAAAATTAAATTGACATTAAATGAAATGAGAAAATAATGTACAGGATATCATAATACCAATCTCACTGTGGTCATACCGTAAGCTACTTATAGAAAATGAACGAATATGCAACGTATGTAATCTGTGGCTGTAAAGTTTAACTTGGTTCACCAGCAGAAGTCTGCCCCTCGGGGTGTCGGTATTTTTGAAAAAAAAAAAACTTTTATAAATCTGTCGACCATCGGCCCTGCATTCGAGCCCCGGACCTTTACCTTACATGATGAGCGCTGTGTCAATGCCTAAACCGTTTCGGCCACCGACGCCCCCAAAAATCTTTTTAGAGGTGTTTTATTATACACATGGAAGTTTTAAGAGTAATTTCTTTTTATTTACATTTTTGGTTTATGTTAGAAAACATTTCCATGAGGTTTTTTAATAAAAAAAGTAAATAAAATACTTATTTTCATACAAATTAATGAAATGAAAATAAGTAATGTAAATATTGTCTTTTTTATTAACTACATTAAAAACCACATGGGAATGTTTTATACCAAAGTTCTTTAGCATGAAATAAAATTGATTTTGGGTGCAAAGAGCTAACTGAAAAAACGTTGAATACAATTTTTGGGGAAAAATCGGAAGAAAATTTTTGTGTGTGGTGTTTGACCGTGAGTGACCGTTAATTAATAATTATTATTTTTATTATATTATAATTTTTGTTCTCAAATTGTTTTCCTTCCAAGCTTTTAGATTATTTTTCGAAAAGCACCATAATGATAATTTAAACAACTTCGCTGGTCCACAAAAAACCTTATAGCCCTCACGTAATGGCATAAACATGATGTTCATGAATTAATTAGGTCCGGAGATATGAACACATATTTTTGTGAGTTTTTGTTGTCTTCATTCTTATTTTTCTTACTTCTAAAGAAATAAAATCTAAAAAATTAAGATTTACAGAGGTTGTTATAACGTTGAATTTGGATACAACGAGAGTAGTTATGAATTTGTAAGTTAAACATTGAATAGAGAAGAAAAAATAATTAAAAATGTCCCCTAATCTTGCTGACGAATGAAAATTGCTATTTTAAAAAATTGGCCAGCTTTACTGAAAGCACTTTTTTGTAATATCATTCAATACCACTTTTACAAAATCGACTGATGTCATATAATTTCCTTGAAATACTTGCCCAACAATGGCTGAAAAACATACCTTAAAAACACCCTGTTAGTGCCCGTTATCAGACACCTAGCTATGCTTGCTAGCACAAATCGATATTGGCAAAACCAACGAACTCCATTGCTGGTCCAATCTTTCTTAAAACTTTCTAAATTGGCCCTCTCCATCCCCCCAACCAACAATCATCCTAGATACCTTACCCAAACTTTCCCTTTATTGTTTAGCCATACTTGCGCTATACCGGATAACTTAGCTATACCTGATTGGTCTCATTTACCTCCATATGTAGAAGAGGCAGCCATGAGGGGTCAATCTGACGCGGCACTAACCTTTTATACGGACGGATCCAAGCAGGGTAATCTGGTGGGCGCTTCATTTTTTGATCCCTGCAATAAATAATTTCGCCGTACAAATTAAATTGAGTGGTATCGCCTCCATTTTTACTGCCGACGCGTTAGCAATCTTGCAAGCCTTAAAGTATGCTCAGACTATGAACCCTTCCGACTTAATTATAATCTCTGACAGTCAACGTGTGGTCCATTCCCTTCATAGTATCCTTAAAGCCAATCACTTCATCCTCACACAGATTTTCAATTTAATATGTCAATTAAAAACCTCCAACACTAACATTCATATAATCTGGGTAAAAGGACATAACGACACTGTTTACAACGATGAAGCCGATAGACTGGCGAAAGAGGCGGCCATATCTGGTCCTTTGCAGTTTTTCATCTCGGTTGGAGATATTAGATCTCATTTGTGTACGCACTCCTTGAAATCTTGGCAAAGGGAGTTCAGTTCCACAACTAATGCCAAGGTTTACAAATCAGTTCAAACCCATATTCCTCCCTTCCCATGGTTCCGTTCTTTGAATTATCTCCGACAATCCCTCACTTCCAAAATCCGCCTCCGTCTACCTGTCCACCTTTACAAACTTAAAATCCTTAATTCCCCTTACTGCTCCTGCAACATCTTAGTGGTGGCCAATGCCAACCACGTCCTTCTTGAGTGCCCTCTTACTGCCTCAGGCAGAGAAGCATTTTACAGGTCGCTGATTATGGCCGGCATACCTCTTCCCATCACAGTGTCCAATCTCCTATGTACTTCCGCAGAACTGATGTAATTGAACCCTTAATTAAATACATTTTCCGCAACAAAATCATAATATAACAGACGTTAAAAAAAAGAAGAAGGAAGGAAAAAGAAAAGGAAAAATATATTCATAATTATAAACCATTGGCTAATATGATTAACATAAGGCCATAAATTAGCTTCCTTAAAGGAAAGTTTAAAATAAATAAATAAATTCAATTAAATTATTAAAATATTTTTCGGCTATTGGCAAGAATACTCTGACATGTTTCTAATATTTGTTTTTTTTATATAGCATCACGGAAAAAAGTGTCAATAAAATCGGTGATCCCACATCATAATCTTGTATGATCAGGTCTTTCACGGACTATAACAACCGTTAA